CTGTCTCAGCATGCGAGCTCCCGCACGCTTCGCCGGCTTTTGCTGCGCGGACAATTTTCTCACACACGTCAGCGCCGTTTGTAGGCGTCAGAAAAACATGTAGACATTCACGAAGGGCTCAGTCTGTATATCGTCACATCATTACATACGCAGTCGTCGAACACATCGGTGTACATTCAGCGCTTTGTCCTTCTAGCTGGGTCGCTTCGTGCTGAGGCTGAGGCTGATGCAGGCTGAGGCTGAGGCAGGCTGAGGCTGAGGCCGAGGCCGACGGCAGACTGAGGCTGAGGCTGAAGCAGGCTGAGGCTGAGGCAGAGGCAGGCTGAGGCTGAGGCTGAGGCTGAGGCAGGCTGATGCTGAGGCAGGCTGAGGCTGAGGCTGAGGCTGATGCAGGCTGAGGCTGAGGCAGGCTGAGGCTGAGGCCGAGGCTGAAGGCAGACTGATGCTGAGGCTGAAGCAGGCTGAGGCTGAGGCTGAGGCAGGCTGAGGCTGAGGCAGGCTGAGGCTGAGGCTGAGGCAGGCTGAGGCTGAGGCTGTGACTGCGACTGCCGTTGCCACTGCGACTGTCATCGCGAATGCGACTACGACTGCGAGAACAGCAGAATTCTACAACTGGATTCTCATCTGAATCTTAAGGGGAATGCTTCCAGATATGCTCCTACACATCGCTGTTAGGTTGCTTTGCCGGGATAATTGTTCCCCACATGTTTCGTGGGGTTATGGTTTTTCCCCTGCCGCGGCGCACCCGCGTCTCACCTCGCACCTCATCTTGTTGGGGAGCCTCTTGAGTCCGTCCTGGAGCGTGTTGGAGTCCTCGTCGGCCGTCTTGAGGGCAGCTTGGGCGTCTTCGGGGCCTCTTGGGACCGTCTAGGGCCCTCTCGGAACCTCCATTAGCCTGTCGTGCCCTGCTTCGGGGCGGGCCCGGGCCGCCTCGGGACCCCTCGGGGCCTTCTCTTGGCGCGCTCTTGGGGCACACTTGGGTTGTCTGGGGAGCATCCTGGGCCCCTGGGCCGTCTGGGGGCCCTCGTCGGGGCCTCGTGGGCCTTCTTGGAGTGATCTGAAAGGCCTGCGAGGCCGTGAGGGTGCGCTGGAAAGCGGGAAAAGCGAGAACGCCAAAATCCAAAACACTCGGAAAACGAAAGAATCTTGCCTTCCAAGGGCCCTCTTGGGGAGCCTCTTGAGTCCGTCCTGGAGCGTGTTGGAGTCCTCGTTGGCTGTCTTGACGGCATCTTGGGCGTCTTCGGGGCCTCGTGGGACCGCCTTGGGTCCTCTCGGGGCCTGTCGTGCCCTGCTTCGGGGCGGGCTCGGGCTGTCTCGGGAGCTCTGGACCCCCCACACAACTCCTGGTGAGCACCGATGGGGGGAACAAGCAGCGGCCCGCCCCCCCCCGGGCCTACTCCGAGATAGAGAATCATGTTCCCGGGAAACTTTCCCGGAGCATGATTGGTTCGGCTCTCTAAGAGGAGGGCCTCTGGGAGCTTACCGAGGGGCGCCTGTTGGCCTTGTCGGTAAGCCTATTGGAAGCATGGTTGGGGCGGTGGGCGGAAGCCCAAGGAATCATGTTCCCGGAAAGCTATCTGGGAAATACGATTTACCGAAGTGTCTTGGGGGTCCGCAGGGGGCTTCCCTGGGGGTCCCTTGGGGGCCTACTGGGGCTTCGGGGGGGCCTCTTGGGAGCCTCACGGGGCTGAGCCTCTTGATGGCCTCCGGGGGCGTCCTAGGAGCCTCTCAGCCCGGAGACCTCGAAACGTCGCGCTCTTCGGGCCCTCTTCGGTCGCTCTTGGGGCTCTCTTGGGGCGCTCTCGAAGCTCTCTTGACTCATCTGGGAAGCCTCCTGGGCCGTCTCTGGGTTTTCTTGGGAGCCTCTTCGGCCGTCTTGGAGCGATCTGAACGGCCTCTGACGCGGTCCGGGACCGTGGGGAGGCGGAACATGGGAGAGCGCAAGAATGCTTCAAAAACCATTGGAAATTTAATGATTTTCGGCGTCTGGGGCCCTTTGGAGAGTCTTCTGGAGGCGCTCTTGGGGCGTTTTGGCGGCGTCGTCGGCCGTCCTGAGGCCATCTTCGGCGTGTCCAGGGCCTCTGGGGGCTGTCTTTGGGCGTCCTGGGAACCCGGAAATCATTTTCCCGGAGAGGCTTCCGGGAACATGATTTCGAACGAGGCTCTCGTGGGCCTCCCTGAGGCCGTCTTGAGGGCCTCCTGGGCTGGCTGTAGGGCCTCTTGGGCCGTCTCGGGGGGTCCTGTGAGCCCGACAGGCCGACCCTTTTGGGCCGTCTTGGGCCCTCTTGGGTCTCTCTTGGGCTGTGTTGGGGCTCCTCGGGGGCGTCTGGGGTACTGTGAAGACGAAGCCAGCGAGTATGCTGAAAATGTACGTTTTACTACGGGGGCGAACTGATTTGTGCCTCTTGAAGGCCCTCTCGGGGCCCTCTTCGGCCATCTTCCAGCCATCTCGGGCCCTCCGGGGCCTCGCTGAGGCTGTCTTGTGAGCCTCTTGGGCGTCCTCGGAACCCGGAAATCCTGTTCCCGGAGAGGCTTCCGGGAACATGATTTCGAACGAGGCTCTCGTGGGCCTCCCTGAGGCCGTCTTGGGGGCCTCCTGGGCTGGCTTTGGGGCCTCTTGGGTTGCCTCGGGGGGGTCCGTGAGCCCCACAGGCCGACCCTTTTGGGCCGTCTTGGGCCCTCTTGGGTCTCTCTTGGGCTGTCTTGGGGCTCCTCGGGGGCGTCTGGGGTACTGCGAAGACGAAGCCAGCGAGCATGCTGAAAATGTACGTTTTACTACGGGAGCGGGCTGATTTGTGCCTCTTGAAGGCCCTCTCGGGGCCCTCTTCGGCCATCTTCCAGCCATCTCGGGCCCTCCGGGGCCTCGCTGAGGCTGTCTTGTGAGCCTCTTGGGCGTCCTCGGAACCCGGAAATCATGTTCCCGGAGAGGCTTCCGGGAACATGATTTCGAACGAGGCTCTCGTGGGCCTCCCTGAGGCCGTCTTGGGGGCCTGGGCTGGCTTTGGGGCCTCTTGGGCCGTGTCGGGGGGTTCCGTGAGTCCCACAGGCCGACCCTTTTGGGCCGTCTGGGGCCCTCTTGGGTCTCTCTTGGCTCTTGGGCTGTGTTGGGGCTCCGCGGGGGCGTCTGTGGCACTGCGACGACGAAGCCAGCGAGTATGCCGAAAACGCAAGTTTTACAAAGGGAATGGGCCAATGTGTGCCTCTTGAAAGGGCTCGCACGGGCCCCCTTGGGGCGCTTTTGGGCGTCCTCGGGGCCTCTTCAGGCTTCCTTGACCATCTGTGTGCGGCCCGGAGAGCTGTTGGGCTCTCCTGAAGGCGTCTTGGGGCGCGCTCAGGGCAATTTTTGGGCATCTTGGGGGCCTCTTGGGGGCCTCCGGGGGAGGCTCTTGGGGGCCTTTTTGGGGCCTCTTGGGGCCTCGCGGGGCGCTCTTGGGGCCCGCTGGGCTCGCTTAGGCAGGCTTGAAGCCCTGTCGGGCCTCTCCTGGAACCGTCTTGGGCGGTTCCTGGGCCATCTTGGGGCTCTCCTGGGCCGTCTTGGGACGATTTTGGGGGTCTCTTGGGCCGTCTTGGGGCGGTCTTGGGGGCCTCTTCGGCTGTCTTGGAGCGGTTTTGGGAGACTATTGGACGGTCTTGGAGCGTCGGAACCCCGAAAAAACAAAAAAAACAAAAACATAGAAAAAACAATAAGCATCAACGATTTTGGCTTGTCGGCGCTCTCCTTGGGAGGCCTCTTGGGATGCCTTCGGGGCCTCATTGAGCTCTCTTGGAACGTCTTCGGGCCTTCCTAGCCATTCCTGAGGCTATCTACGCGCGTCTTGGAGCGCTCGCGGGCCGTCTTGGGCGGTCTCGAACTGTTCCTGGCGGTCCCAGGGGCCCTCCGGGACGCTTCGGACGCTCCCGGGGGCGCCCTGCACCCCCCATGGAGATTACAGGCAGCGCCCCGGACCGCCCCCGGGCCGCCCCCGGGCCCTACTCCGATATATATATATATATATATATATATATATATATATATATAGCCCGGGCGATCACTACACAGACCAGACGATGTATTTTATCGTGAGGCAAGCGCGAAGGCACCACGTCGGGGCCGCCGCTGTCGAGATTCAAACTGCAGTTGAGATAGGGGGTCAGAGAGTGATCAGCACAGAGCATCTGGACGCCAAGTACCGAAAGCGGGCAATTAAAAGGGAGGGAGGGAGCCTTGAGGATTACGGAACGATGTTCCTGCGGCCAGTTGCGACACTACTTGGCTTAAAGTGGTGAACACATCCAGCCCGGGCGATCACTACACAGACCAGACGATGTATTTTATCGTGAGGCAAGCGCGAAGGCACCACGTCGGGGCCGCCGCTGTCGAGATTCAAACTGCAGTTGAGATAGGGGGTCAGAGAGTGATCAGCACAGAGCATCTGGACGCCAAGTACCCGATCCCGCACAGGAGGATTGGCCGGAACTGGCCGCACTACAGGCCCATAGAAATATATTTCAGCCTATGAGTTTTTAAATTCTCAGCAGCTTGGACCATGCATTGAGCGGCAGCATTGGCAAACGAGACAGGGTACGGAGTGGCGATGCCGGTCCATTTGCGCCCTCCCGGCGCATTACCAGAGAGCTCTATGTGGCGTTTTTTGGTCATACTGCAAATTCCGTGCTTGCCAGAACAGCGCATGCACAGCGAGGGCGGACTGCCGCCGTGCCAGACGGCTATTCTAGTGGCCTTTTTCCAGGGGACGTGATACTGACAGAAATCGCAGCAGGCGTCGAAAAAGACGGGGTGTGCTCAGTCCACCACATAATCGAGGTCCTCGGATTCTCCAGGAAGACAGGAATGTTGGAAGCAATACAAAGTCTGATAAGCATAACGCTGAAGAAGAACGTGGCGTTGCCAATCCTCAAGCGCTCGAGCTCAGACTCAGACAGGTCGTGCACGCCGAGGGGATCCGCACTGCTCCGCAAAGGGCGGCGAAGGGCACGCGTCCACGTAGTACATGGAGTACCTAGCCACAGCGCAGCGATGCAGCCTGACGTTAGCCAACCAACAATGACCTTCTGAAAAGTAGGGTCAAGGTGATCATCACGTGGATTATTGAGCAAATCGAAAGACAACGCACGATAGCCAAGCTTCTGAATTGCAGCCGCAATGCCACCACTGCCTGCAAAGAGTTCCAGGAAGACGAGATGCTTCATGAATTGAGGGCGCGGTGCAGCACAGGCACGAAAGGCGCGCTGCAGGTAGCGCCGCACCTCGGGCTCTAGGAACTCCCCGGCAGCCCGCGCGGCACGCCCCGCCGGGGGCCCAGCAGGGCCGCGATGCGTGGAGGCAGTCGCACCGGCGACTGCGCGCTGTCGAAGCCCTCGGCCATCACGCTCGCGAAGTTCGCCTCCACCGCGCGGCCGAGCTCGAACGCATCCTCGGGCACCTTCGCCATCTCGAGCAGGAGACGGGTTGTCTTCCCGTACCTTTTGAGGCTCGTGATGGTCGCCCAGCGCCCTCTCACCTTCACCTCCTCCTGAGTCCTGACAGCAGTCACGAGGTCGTCGCTGGCGCCGCCGTGGCGTAACGAGTACAGGTGCGGGGAGAGCGCCTCGAGGCCGAGGATCTTGACCAGCATGGTGAACTCTGCTTCTGCAGGTCGGCCGGAGAGAGGTCCCACAGGCTGTCGTCTTCGAGCGACTGGTGCTTCAGCGCCTCCAGACACGGCAGCAGCCACTCGCACCTGTCCAGGAGCACCGCGGCGTCGAACATCCCCGTCTTCCCTGGGCCCCCCAGCGCCGCGTCGTGGAGCAGCAGGCCCCATGAGCTGTACTGCCGGCCCGCCACGACCTTCGGGGCGACGAGGTGCTTCCCGCGCAAGAGGAACGCCTCGTGAGGCCTCAGGTACGCCACGAACGTGATCACCACCCACAGGCACATACGCGGGAAGCCCAGGTGGCGGAGGCACCCAGCCAGAGCGAAGGCCGCCGCGCGAGGCAACGGAAGTCGCATGCGCGGCGGGACCCTCCGGCGCCAGGCGACTAAACAGCGGCTGGCCCGCGGCAACTTCGTCGCTGTCGACTTGTAGAGGTCTGGGATGAAGTGCGACAGGCTGGCCAGCAGTTTCGAGCCGTCCTCGACACTCGCCCCCTCCAGGAAGAGCGCGTTGAAGAACGCGACCAGCAGGGGGTCCAGCTCGCCGGCGCTCTGCCAGTCCGCCCCCATCCCCTGACAGTACTGGAGGAAGTGAGTCGCCACGCCCACGTACAGCACCTCCGTGCCCGGCGTAACGGCCAGGCTCTCCAGCAAGCTGAGGTTGCCCACCGGTGTCCGCGCTGTCGTGAGACGCGAGGCGGAAGCAGCCCGCTGCGCCTTCAGCACCCCGGCTCGCGAGGTCGGCTTCGCCCGCTGGCGTGCTTGGATGGCCGCGGCGGTTGCTAAGTACTTAACATACTTACTACGCTAAGTTAAGTACTTAGTAAGTAGTTAGCGGACTTAGCTAAGTACTTACTCAGTCATTACTAAGTGGCCCACTTAGTAATGACTTAGTAAGTACTTAGCTATCCACTTATAACCAGTTAGCTAAGTGCTTAGCGCACTTAGCTAACCACTTATAACCACTTATAGCTAGTTTGCTAAGTAGGTTATAAGTGACTTAGCGGTTACATTGCACTTGTTATCCAAGGGCCATGCACAGGGAAAAAAAGGTAAATCCACGTCTTGAAAGAGCTGAGTTTGTTCGTTGAGCGCTGCAGCGCTACACATTTTGCATTTTGGTTTGGAGTCGGTGTCCTGGATTTTTGCTTTAAATATGAGAAGCGCTGCAGCGCTGCCTTCGGATTTATATGAACATGAAGCGCTGCGTGCGCTGAATATGAAGCGCTGCAGCGCTGAATGTTGAGTTAAATGCATGTTTTCTAGTTGCACGTTGTTCGGATCTTCATTTTCGCCCAGCTCCGTTTGCAAGGAATTTGAATGCACATGTCAATTATGTTTTGTTGTATTCGTTGTTTTTCAATGGTCGCATTGAGCGCTGCAGCGCTCCAAATTTGATAGCACGTATGTTACTTTGCGCTGCAGCGCAAAAAAAAGGTTGTCGTCGTGATGTCGCATCGCGCTGCAGCGCGTGCGCGCTCGTGCTTCATGGGCCTCGGGCTGCAGCCCAGATCAACATTTTTGCTCGCAAGTTGCATGTCCATGCAAGTCGATGTTCACGCGCGCGCCGCGCGACAGCTTGTCTCAAGCTGCGGCCGCGCGCCGCATCCGCCGTCGCGCCCGCGGGCTCGCACGTTGCACTCGGCGCTATATATAGCGCTGGCATGGCGCTGCAGGCGCGTCAGGAGGAGCAGATCTTGCAGTACATCGAGGAAAGCAATTCCTCGGGGAGGTTGGCATCGGGGTGGGATCAACTGAAGGAGTTCCTGCTGGCGGAGGGGCTAGCGTATTACCAGCAGGTCCCACCGAACCAGATGGGCATCGACATTCGGAACCGCAGCGGTTCGTTAGTGAACCCTGCGCGGGCTCACAATTTAGGCGCGAAGATTTGCGCCCAGGGCTTCGTCTTGGCCAAGACGGCTGCAGCCACTGCCTTCGAGGCCCCGCAGGGGGCGCAGTTGGAAGAGACCGCGATGGCGAACGACCGCCTTTCGCGGCTCAGCGGGGGTCGGTGCCCCCCGCTGGACTCATTGCGGTATACGTCAGTGGGCGGCTCCCACACGAACGTCTTCCTCCGCTGCGTGCTGGCCAAGGCGCCGACCACAGTGAAGGCGCTGGCAGACTCTCGGGACAACATCGACTCCGAAAAGCTGTGCGCGTTGCATCCGCAACTTGCGACGGCAGTCAAAAAGGGCCTGACGTGGTTGATCATCAAGCACGCGGTGGCCAAAGTGAAGGGCCTCAAGAACTTCGTGCAGAGGGCTTTGAACGCCGACGTCAGGGAGGCGGTTCACGAGACCGAGATCATTCGGTCAGGCTGCAGCCTATCCCCACTATAGTATATAGCGGTATGTAGTAAGGACCAGGATGATGCACGAGGAGGGTGATGAGTGGGAGTGCGTTGGGGAGGAGGTGAGAACGAGGAGCAGGAGCATTATATCTTACCGTGCTGCAGCACTTGATCGGCTCGGCGCTTGCTGCAGGCAGGTGGGCGGATGCTCTTGGCACACAGCCTCGCTGAGGGTTCCAGCAAGCGGGCCACGCGAACCCACCTTGCAAGGCGTGGATCGCTGACTTGTGCAAGTTTGTTGAGCTCGGGCCACAAAACGGAGAACTTCTCCGTGAAATAGATGAAGCCCCCAAGACCTTCACGAATGTGGACGTCTCGGGGCAAACTTTGATGTGCGGCTCTGAATTCTGGCGCAAGTTGAATTCGATTAAATGGGGGAAGCACCAGGAGCCGCACCCGTATGTCGTAGCGGCGCTCGTGAAGGCCAACTATTCAGGCGAGCGCGTGGTGGATAGCATGTGCAGGACCATCCATAAGCTTGTCGGCGCCCCCTGGTAGTGACATGCGCTGCAGCGCATCAATGCATTGCGCTGCATTGTTAGAACTGCGTACCCACCCCTCCCCCTCCCCACACACACACCGTTACATTGCTTCATTCCCAAACGCAATCGCTGAAGCGATGGGCGGATCAAGGCAAACGAGATCGCCCACGTCGCGCCCCGCAAGGCGGACGTGGCTGCGGCCGACAACCTCATGGCCGACGCAAGGTCGCTCGTGAAGAGGTTGGATATCGGAGCGGAGCAGGGCTTCTTGCACATCACAAAGTTGGATGTCCGCTGTGCCATGTACCTGGTGAAGAAGCGAGCGCCAGGAGACCGCACTTTCGGATGCGTAGCAGGTATAGCACAGGTATCTTCTCATGCCACCTTTCGTGTGCTCCGTGTTTCCCTCCCTCCCTGCTTTTCGCCATTCAATGTCGCTGCAGCGACCCTCCAGAGAGGTCTTCCTCCATGAGCTCGGGGAGCCAGCCCAGCTGCAGATGAAGAGCTTGGGGATCGAGTTCGGCAAGGCGGCGCAGACCGACAAGCAAGGCGATGGCGCACCCGAGTTCCCAGCGATCGCCGATGCAGACGCGCCGCGCGCGGCAGCGTCGTCGGCCGCTGAGTTGAAGAGCAACGTCTTCCGCATGCGGCGTGCAGGGTTCGACGTGGGGAAGCACATCGTCCAGGAGAAGGAGGTGGATGACGTCTTCGAGGTGCTCTCCATCTCGAAGAATGGGATCACCGCTCAGAAGAAGTTGCACGGCGACCTGGTGGGCGAAGAGATCTCCATTGCGCGGCTGCAGCCACCCCGCCGCCCGCGGGGAGCAGGGGGGGGGGGAGGGGGAGGTAGTAACTGCGATATTGTATTTCCTGTACTTAAGTTGCAATGGGTTGGTCGATGCGCTGCAGCGCACGGAGCAGTTAGCCGAGCGGGCGGATTGAAGTAAACATATTGCTCGAGAATTACAAGTTGACGTCCAGGGTGCAAGAGCAGTTGTCGTTCACGAAGGAGCACTTGCCGCCAGCCCACGAGGGTTGGGCGATGGACGCGTTCAAGGGGGCATGCAACATGGCGCTGCGGCTCCAAGCGCTGAAGTACCAGGCGAACATTTTGCACTTGGAGATCCTGCAGGACCCACCTGCCGTGCGCTGCAAGCGAGCGTTCAAAGTGGGTGAGCTCGTCAGACTTGTGCTTCCGCAATCGTCCGCGCCCCCCTCCGACGACGCCGCGCTGCAGCGCTGCGCTGAGCACGAGGTAGCGAGGATTTCGGGGCACGTCAGGCCGTAGCGACGAGGTCAGTGATGTTACCGACTGCGCGCCATGTAGCTCCACGCGGTGGGAGTGGTCGCATTTCAGCCTCGTCCACGCGGGTCAGCACGGGCTGCGTTGCGGAGAGCATCTCGTTGGGGAAGGTTGGCCTCTACGAGTTCTTCGTGGGCCCGCAGTTCGCAGGGCCCCCCGCTGAGGGGTCGCGGGGCCCCGACGCCTTTGTCAGCCCCTTCTGGGTGGTGGCAAAGTCCGACTCAGAGCCCAACATGGAGCTCCGAAAGGAGACCGTGACGTTCGGGACAGGCGTCAACGAGGTGCAGGTGGGGGTGCCCCAGATGCATAACACTTGCGCCCTGTCCGCGGGCGACTTCCTGGTGGTGAAGCCGTGGCCGCGGCTGCAGCCGCGGCCAGCCAAGAAGCTCAGGACGGCCTGAGCTGGCGATATAGAGGGACCACGCGGGAGGATGAGGCAGGAGGGAGGGGTGATGCGGAGGAGGAGGAGGAGGAGGCAGGGTAAGGTTTGGCATAGGGAGGAGGATGAGGGGGCTTAAGGAGCGGCGAGCGCACATGACGGCACCGAGCGTGGCCCTCCGATTGGTGTAAACAGTGTGCGGGTTGGTGCGAAGTGCGATACTTGCCGCGGCGCTGCAGCGCGCGGAACGATTCGTTGCGCCAGCATCGTCGCTGCAGCGACTGTACAATATTGGTGCTGACATCAGCCTTTCCCACAGACATGCCGCTGCAGCGGCTTCGTCATCACTGTTGTGCTCGATGTGATCGTTGCTCTTCGCTTCATCTTTCACATGCGCTGCAGCGCACCTCATCATGAGCACCTCGTCCGCGCACATGTTGCCTCATCACTCCATCGCAGCAATTTTGGCGCTGAAGTGCGACCGCGCTCGGGCTGCAGCCTCGGCGCGCCGCGCGCGCGATGGCGACGATCAAGCGCGACTGCGTCGTGTTGCACGACAACCGTACGGGGCGCGAGCTGGTCGCGGCCGTCGAGGTCATCGGAGACCGCGAGTGTATCACCGTGACCACCGCAGGTTGGAGCAAGTGGGTGTGCGGCAAGGCTCAGGGCTTGCGAGGCACGATGTTCCTAACGTGGCTGAAAAATCAGCGCACCGCGTCGTCGGGGCCAACGGCGCCGACGACGCTCTTCGCTGCAGCGGAGCCAGGCCGCCGCCCGACCACGCGGTCCGGCCGCGCCAGTCGCCAGGTTCCAGTGGACAAGTGCTTCAAGACAGTGCAGCTGCCGCCGTTTGGCGATACGGAGGCAACAGAGCTGCAGATTGTCATTCCCCCACCTCATAAGGGGGGGAGGGACAAGCTGCAGGTGGTGCTGCACGAGAAGGGCGTAGAGTACATCAAGGCCAAATTGCTTCAGGAGGCGGCGGAGGCGGCAGAGGCGAGCACGGTGCTGAAGCGCCCGCGGCGCCACGAGACCGATGTTCCTTGCGGCACCCGC